AACATTTACAGCTCATACTGTAACTTTTTTGAGAATAATACCGAAGTATTAAATGCCTGTCCTTGAATAAATACATATAATGTACAGTTTTCCATGCGTTTTAAATGAAGGTCAAAGTATGACGAGAAGGGACAGAGCTGTAGCTGTTTTGATCAAATTAAAAATAATGTTATGCACAATTTCCCACAATAATGTGAGATAACAAACTTGGAGTTTGGGTTATTATTGACTCTCAGCTACTACCACATCTCTTAATATCTGTAAAATTGGCTAAATTATAGCTATTTTTGTGCTTTCTAATTGCAAGTGGTTGTAAGAGCCATCTGTCATTGGATTTGCTCATAAAGATAACAAGTTGTAGATGTGCATCCTTTGATTATTTCCTGAAAGTTTCATTAAAATCCATCCAGTAACTATTCACCAAAGAAACAAAAATAGTCATGAAGCTGCTGTAGATGCACAACGCAGAAGTTACACTTTTTTAAAATGAAAATACAGAATATACAGTTTATTGATATTCTGAAGACAATTTTCAAACAAATCTGGCCTCTTTATGTATCTATATCCTTGTAATGTCCTCTTAACTCATACGGTATTGTTTTGTTAAAAGCATCACCTGATCCTTTGCTTTGTTCCAGCCACAACAGTTTAACTCTGAGTTACAGATCGTCTGACCTCATCACAGGGTGTTCACGTTTCGCTCAGACCTGAAACCCCCTCAGGCTCTCCCACTCTCCACTTTCACTCCTTTTTGTTCTTAAACATTTTGCACTAAAACAGCTTAACATTGTTGGCCTGTCATGTTTATCCTCTCCATGTTTACTCCTTTGTAACAGGCACAAGCACATTTTTTTGCAGTAGCTTCAACTTTTCACCCGTAATAAGGACCTTTCAATGCATTATGGACTTTTCACGTCATTTGTTGCTTTTAGTTTGATTTGTGTTGCTGGAAGTGAAGCAGTTTGCAGCTGCTGTAGAAGCACAGACAGTTTATTGGCATGTTCAGCAGTGGCTTATTAAAAAAAAAAAAGAGAGAAATCGAGTACTCTTCAGTTCCAAGTAGCTGCATACAGATGAATAATTTATTTCCCACACGACTGTGTAGCATTAATAATGAGCACACCTATGTAATTTTTATACATGTACGTGGGTGAATGCACGCTCGATTGCGTTCAGACAGATTGCATCATAGTTTTTAATGCTGGATACGCACGTTTTGTTTCAACAGCTTCCTGTCTCATTATTTTCCCCTCGTGAACTTGTGTTCAGTGGAGAGATTAGGCGACGCCGCGACTCGTGCTTTATTAGGAAAGGCTCAAAGACACTCCTCTAGGGATCAAATAAAGATGGCATCAGTTAATCCAGCATTTCAATTACAAGCTGTCATTCAGGGAGACTCTCCAGGACTGGGAGCTCTGAGGGCTGAGATACACACCAGCAGGGCAAACAGCTTGTTTTAAAAAAAAAAAACCTTCAGGAAAACAGAGCATCTGAACAAATACAGTGCATGAAGTGACCTCATTTAGAAATGTTCTCTTTGTGTTGCTTCCTGATCAGTCAAGTGAATCATCCAGAAGTGAAGCAGCACCGATAAAAGCACTTCTTTTTGCTACGTAGTTGATTTTAGTCACGAACATTTACCAAAGAGCAAGTCTGACAAACAATGTTCCCATTGCCCCTGTGAGAAATGAACCTAAGAATACAGATTAATTTGTGTTAAAGTCGGGAAGGTGTTTTAACTCAAAAATCTGTTTTCATTCATAATACAGCTTATTTATTTATTTATTTTCATTTACATCAGAAGAAAATTTAGACAAATGAGAAATTTGTAGGGAAAGGGTCAGAGTTTCAAAAGAAAAACCCTGATAATACCAGTCATTTAATTTTCTTGAGGAGAACACATTTAAAAGTAAAATGACTTTTATTTCTCTTTAAGTTGAGCTTCAATCGTAAAAGTAGATTGACAATGAAATCCAAACAACCATGCTCACAGATACATCTCCATGATCATCAGCTCCCTCATCAAGAAGGCCCAGCAGAGACTGTACTTCCTGCGACAGCTGAAGAAGGCCAAGCTGCCGGCCAAGCTGATGGTGCAGTTCTACACGGCCATCATCGAGTCCATCCTCAGCTCCTCCATCACGGTGTGGTACGCCGGGGCCACTGCCAGGGACAGACAGACTGCAGCGCGTTGTGCGCTCAGCTGAGAAGGTGATCGGCTGCAGCCTTCCATCCCTCCACGACCTGTACGTCTCCAGGACTGTGAGGCGAGCAGGTCGGATCACAGCTGACCCTGCTCATCCTGCACACGGTCTGTTTGAACCACTCCCCTCAGGCAGGAGGCTTCGGTCCATTCGGACCAGAACCTCCCGCCATAAGAACAGTTTCTTCCCCTCTGCTGTTGGACTCCTGAACACTCATAATGCTACCTCATAATTTCTGCTTTGGTCACATTACATCTGTATTATAACTGAATACTCCATCTGTACTGTTTTCTAAGCTTTTTTATTGTTTTCTATTGTATGGGTGTACACATGTTTATGTTATGTTTTTAATTTTACTTTATTTGTGGGTGTACACAGGTCTTATGTCTTATGTAATGTTCTAATTTTTACTTCATTTTTACTTTATTTTTACTTTATTTTACTTTATTACTATTCGCACCTTATGTCGAAGCAAATTCCTAGTTTGTGAATCTCGTTCATTGACATGGCAATAATAAACTGATTCTGTCTGATGATAACTGATGATGGGATACATTTGAAGGCCCTCTGTCCCACTTTGGTAGGAGTTGAACATAAGAATGCAGGCTGACAGAAAGAAGCTCAAAATAAAACTCTTTACAAACACAAAGTAGGTCAAGACATATCACTGGTTTTACTTTGCTTTTTTTAACTTTAATTTGCATACATACATACATATATATATATATATATATATATATATATATATATATATATATATA